GCCGTCGAATAGCACTAGTATGTAAGGCTAAAAGTCCTCTTTCAAAATAGAATGCCCATATAAGCAGAGACAACACATAGAAACAGCAAGTCACAATCAACAATATCCAAATTTTCTTTTTTTTTTTTTAATGCACCGTCAATATTAAAAAATATTAATCAAATTAAATTGTGTTATCTTATTTGTTAATACAATATATCCAATTATATAAAAAATTGTTATGTATTTTTTTAATTACATTATCTAATATTTAGTAATATTACATTGTAAATATAACTTTTTATTAGTATATTGCTTAAGTCACATATAAAATTAATTATTTTTTTAAATTGTCAAGTGTCATATTGTGAGAATAACACTTGATTTAACGTGGAGCCTTTTTTCTCTCCTGTTAATAATATAGTTATATTATCTATAGAAAATTTTTTTACTAGCGTATATTTGCTTGATAATCCATATGTAAAACCAATTAGTTTTTCAAATTGTCAATTCGCCTATTGTGAGAATGCCACTTGGCTTAATGTGAATGGCTTTTGTCTATTCTTTTAATAATATATAAAATGTACTCAGTTATTTTTTAAAATTGTCAATTGGCCTGTTGTGAGAATGCCACTTTGGTTAATGTGGATTTTTTTCTTTTTTTAATAATATATAGAATATTAATAGCTATAGATTTTTAAATTTCTCTCCTTTTTTAAAAAAATAACATTGAAAGACTATAGTTTAAATTAGTATGCAATACGATCATATTAGCGTAAGGCTTATTTATAGGCGTTATATTTGTTTATGTTCCCTTTAGACGTTTTGAATGCTCTGTTATATCCAGAGCTTTTTTTGTCGACATTGAAATACCTCTTGCGTCATGTACTTTCCACAACTTCTATTTTTATTTAATGATGAAAGTATTTTTATTATTAAGGGATCTTTACCACTATTATTACTATCGGGCTTGACACCAATTATTGTGGATGAAGGATCACATTATATTTATTGTATGTTCTTCTCCATTTATGGCACGAAGCAAAATATTACTGAATGCTGGATCTATTTTTGTTCTCATGTTTCTTGTTAGATGAATATTTTTTTTAGGCAATAAGTATTATTTTACCAAGTTAGCATTTACAATCTCCGTTCTCGTCAATTTTAGGACTAATGGTAGTATTTATTGGAAATCACCTCGAAAAACCATCACTTTTCCAACAACGATATCGTCATCCATAATATTTCAAAAGCTCATGTCAGTTGATTCGATTGTGTGATGCTTAGCCATAGACGATTCATCCATATTATCAACTTTATTTTTTTTACACAAAGTGAACATTAAAGTATATTATGATATCCATTTAGGTAAATCATAGTTTTTAGTACTCTTGCTCATGCTCTCTAGGAAACTATTTATACTCTTTAGTGTGCTTTGTAGTTGAGTATCTGATAAATTGTCATGTATCCTTCTAAAGTCGTCTGACATATTTTCGTAATTTATATCCCATAGTTTTCTAACGTCGGTTGAACACTTGAACTATGATGCACCAATATAGTTGCAAATAAACTTCGGAGAGCTGATGGCATCTTGAAGCGAACTTTCTCGCGTAAGCATTCAGAAATATTGTTATCTCATTCTAATATCCCTCATTCTTTTGCAACTTCTTTGTATGTCTTACGCCCCCTTCCATTAAATATGAAGAAATCTTCAAATGAATATGGTCCTCTAACATAATTCAACAATAAACTCAAATAGTACATTTCACCTTCTCCATTATTCAAGAAAAGAGTAGATAAAAATTTACAAAATATATTAAAGAAATTCTTTTTAAGTGTAAATATTAAATTTCTTACCAGTAAAAATTCGATTAATTACATATTTGTTTTTCTTTTGTCCATATCTCATTTTATGAAAAAGGCAGAAAGATTAGAAGGAAGTAGGCTCTTAGATAGCGCATTCTCGCTTAGCCCCTGGCTCGATCGGCTGATCCGAATATAATACTCTACAAATTCTTTGTATAGGTACATTCATGCTTCCTCATCTGTTGAGTATGTACTGAAATCCCAGTGGGCATATTTTGGTGGACACTTGTCACGCCCCAAACTTGGGGAGCGCGACCGACGTTCAACCGAGTGAACCCAGTCGAGCAAGCCTACGTTACATCAACCTCTCTTCATAACTCATGCATGATTTATATAAAGATCATTAGATCTTGACTTTCATATTGAATACATTTGGCTCAATAGCCCATATTTTTATTTTCTTTCATGATGGGTACATAGATTCATAAATAACTGTGAACATAATTACATGACAAAACTCAAATCTTAAATACATGACCCACAGTGTACATGGAGCTTCTATGACAATAGATACCTAAATAGATAAAACCAACTAGACTCGAATACCCAATCGAACTATAGAGGGCTCACCATAATCTACTGCGCAGAAGATCCCTATCAAAGATCCATATCATTCTATAGAAGTATACCTGCATCCATTTAAAAGATGCAGCACCCCCGATAAAGGGGACGTAAGTACATGTGGAATAGTACTCGCATGTAAGGCAAACAGAACAATATATGAATTCATGGTAATCCAACTAAGAGATATAAGAAGTACATCGAGAACTACTAAACATTCCATAGATTCACATTTTGGGTCTTATTATACTAGCATCATTCTTAACTTCTTTTAGGATCAATTGAACCATATGAACTATATGTGGAACACATAATAGAATGTAATTGAAACAACATGTACAAACAAGGCCAATGGAAGTGGCACCTATCGCCAGCGTTGACAATTGCAACCCAATAGATCATCCATATCCCTTTCTCATTTTACACCTATACATTTCATAAATCGTACATAATGTTCATATATCATATTATACACATATGTGTCTCATAGACCGTCTATAGTATTCACATATACAATACACCTCTTCAATGATTTGGAAATACAACATGAATATGACGAATCATGAAAATATATAAAGGGCTTCGATAGCCGTTAAAGCCATAGCAAATTTATTAAGAGCCTTCAATATCATTTATAAGTTTTAAGTCGTGGATCCTTTGTAACCACCTTCACACAGAGCGGCCCTGTCGCCTATATCATAGACTGTCCATATTATCACCTATAAAATACACATGTGCGTTTCATAAATCATTCACAGTGTTTACTTATACAATACACATGTGCGTTTCATAGACCGTTCACAGTGTTTACTTACACAATACACCCGTGCGTTTCATAGACCGTTCACAGTGTTTACTTACATGGTACACCTGTGCGTTTCATAGACCGTTCACAGTGTTTACTTACATAATACACCTATGCGTTTCATAGACCGTTCACAGTGTTTACATAGTACACATGTGCGTTTCATAGACCATTCATAGTGTTTATTTACACAATACACCTGTGCGTTTCATAGACCGTTCAAAGTGTTTACTTACATATCATTATGCACATGACCATATATAAACCCAAAGCGATATGACTAGCATTATTTTTAAGGTCGTAACTCGTAAGTTCCCGGATTATTGGAACACTTCATTTTGGTATTCATGCTCATCAAGGAGAAATACACCTCATTACATTAGCACATTTATGGAAAATCAATAAGTCAAATTCAATGACACATGGCCCAAATACGTTTTCCATGTGACTTATGACACTTAACATAGGACATCCCTCTTCCACTTCATTATATACTCCCTTGTCATCTTAAGGTCATTAGCTAAGTTCATAATTCTTGGGGACTCAACATCAAAGTCATTTACATTAATTATTTTAGAAGCATACATACTATGATTGAAACCATTGGGACATACACATCTCAAAATTCTCATTTTGGCAAACGACCACATTTCATGTTAATGCTATCACTTACTTATGTTTGCCATGGGTGATCACAAGACATCAAGAACATTTAAAATAATTAGGAACACCATAGCCTCTCCTCACGAGGGCGTAGAAGTTTATAACACATTGGAAATATAAGTACAAATATGTTCATCTTATAACATTTCACTCCATATATCACTTTCAAGCATCTTTATAGATTATCGACAACAAAGAACCTCTAACCACGACCTTTAGTACACATATGATCAGTTAAGAGTCTTAAGCACACCTAGATTTCTTACACAATTTGGCATAATAGCCTTCACTTGAAACAAGACTTGAAGTCATAACATTTTAATACCAACTCATGCTTTGAACACATTCCCGAAGGATAGCATCCTATGATAAGAGCATCCCGAATACATTTTGAACATATACCTTTCAACACAAAGCTTATTCGGAATAGTTAATTTATAATGAATAACTCAAAACTTACAAGAACATCATGTAATTCAATTCTAGGAGAGAAGTTTAGCCAACAAACCTTGCTTTGAGCTTTTCTTAAATTACTACAACGTTCCAAAAATTCTAGCAATCCAATCTATTTTGAGACATAGCAAAATTGAACACAAATTAGGAAGATATTCATGGTTTTAGCTCATTTGAGCATTTTATCAAACACTAGGTGTGCATCTTGATTTCAAGGTTCTTCTACAAGATTTCCTTCATTCCCAACCCAATCTTTACTTAATTGAGCTCAACAATTTTCCCACAAACCTTATTTGTACATACATGTATAGATAATACTTTTACACTTAAGAATCATACCCCCATCACCCATCTTTTACCCCCAAACTCGAAATTAAAGACTAGGGTATGGAACCTTACCTCTTAGATGAAGATCTTGTGATTGGCTTCCTTGATTCTTGAATATTGGTGCAAGATTGGATGCTTAGAATGTTAGGTTTCCTCCTTCTCTCTCTAAAATGCTCTCACCTCTCTCTAGATTCACCATAAAATCACACCAAATAAAGCCCCAAATCCTATTTATCAAAATGGGGCCGGGTTATGAAAATCGGAAAATGAAGCCTTCGAAATTAGGTATGCGATCGCA